TCGTTCCTGCTGAACTTTATATTTTGAGAACCGCAGTTATACTAAATCATGAGACCAGACGTATATTAATACTTAATGGCGCAGAAATGTAAATTAGACTGAGTGAGTTTCGAGGTATGGTCCACCTTACAGATACCTGGAAATGCTAGCACGTTCAGAAACATTGACCAAGTCGAACAACTTGCCTCCAAGAAGAGTGAAAGCGTCGCTCATCAAAGCCAGACTGCATAAGAAGAAGTACAGTGCAGCGACAAGCAGCACCAGAAGCATGATCGTGCGGCAAATTGCCCATAGTTTCTTGCACATCCGCTGATCTAAAGAGTTTATAAATTATGTATGTGACAAAACGGCGCCACCTAGCCATCAGATCTCATCTCAAATAAGTTCACTACGGTTAGGTCGTATTCACAAAATACAAGTTTTTCGGCGTACTGAATAAAAAACTCGATACACATTAAGCCGCATGACGATATAGGAAGTCAACAGCTTTTTGCTATGAGATTGGGGCATCCGGTCCAACGATCTTGCTGCTGAGCGACGCAGATCGCCCGTTAAAGCAACATATGTAGGCATGTGGCCTTTTTAGAGTTACCGTACTCACTGTTGCTAACATGTGTAACAGTGCCACTCTTGTCTTTTAACCCATATCAACAGGACCAAGGATTGATTACAGAACGTGATCCCCTCAAATGTTGTTCTGCGGATAGCTTAGCATTAGTTGTTGAGTTTCGAGGTCGTTAGGTACTGACAAACCGCTGACTATTCTACCCCTGCATCAACGCTTATGATCAAATGCCATGACCGCCAAGAGGTGTACCCTTTATTCCTGCTACGGTGAGCATGAAGAACCGTCATAAGGTCTGAAGCAGTCGACTAGCGAGAGGGTAGCAATGGCAAAGATTTTCATAGGTGCCACGGGGCGAATCTGTCCAAAATACAGGTACGGTAATTTACGGTAATCACCGGCACAACTCCTGAATGTTCCTAGATCTACGTTCGTAACTCATATTGACTATAAAGCTTTATGCTGCGAGCATACGACGCTTCATTGCCCAATTGGAAAGACATTCTCTTTCACCAGTATGCTCCTAAAACCATGATATCGTTCTTTTCATATCGCAGGAAGCGGACAATGATAAAAAAATGTTTTCTTGCCATTGTGGGGCTAACGCCCCTTTAGTCTCTACAGTCAGCTCACGAGGCTCTGGTAGAACGTTATTAATTCCTGAATGATGCTCATAGCCACCCAATAATGAGGTAGCGGCTGCCAATGTTCGGAGGCCAGCAGTCGGCAAATGTTCTCTCCCCCGTGTACGCCAGTGACGACCAACGATTCACTAGTAGACACGTGACATTAAAGTGGCATGGCTACCCTGTCATGCTCTACGTATGTCTTGTTCAGAGGGGACAGCGTACAAAAGGGCAACCAACCGTAGGAAATGTCCACTCAAACGACTGCACCGGCGTTTCTGCGCCTGGCTCGTCAGCGCGGCGGTCGGATGATAATTTTCTGATTTGCGCAATGGTCTTTCATCGACTACGCCCGATGTATAGCCATGCTGTCGTGTTAGAGTGAAGTTTTTTCTAGCAAAGTGGGGAAACAAGATTCAACAGGGCACCCAGTCCGAATGAAGTTGGCGAACATCGATCTGGTTGCTGTCGCTGCCGGCCCTCATGTATTTGTAACTATCGCTTAGAAGACAAACCACACATCTGAACATACATCACTAGATAATAGGGGACAATCAGGGCGATGGCAATGGGTAGGCGACGTTGCCAGAAGAAGCAAACGTCGCTCAGTCAAGCAGGTATTAGAGTGGGTCCCATGAGAGAGTAAACGGCTCACGGGAAGACTTCCAGATCGACTGCCAGATGAATTGAAGAAATTTATTGAAGCAACGTCAGCAAGAAACGCAGAAGATGTTTTATTACGAAATCTCGGAGAGACCTTTATTTAGCAATTCACAAATAAGGCTAATGATGTATTCAGGGCAGTAAATATAAATTCTACTCAAATTAACGGAATCAACGTTCGTTCGAAGTTCTGCACTCTTTGGAAAAAGTGATTTGCCTTGTGAAAAAAGTAAACGCGGCCAGTTACAAAAAAATAAATTTATATATCGAAAGTTTCAATAAAAAGTTGTAGCCACAGCAGTCGATTGAGGTGCCCCAGATATGTCAATGAGTGATGGATCCAGTGTATACTCTATGGCTGGTCAGGAGTAACGAGAAGGTGTTTGAAGAGAATTTAATTTGGCGGGAAATCGACAGTTGCGCTGATAATATTAACACTCGGTTGGAATTGCTGTCAACAAAATATTGAAAATTTTCCCTCATAGGAGCTGCCGTAAAGCGGAAGGTTTTCGATGGTGCTAAA